ACGTGTTTGCAAAACTGAACGGAGGCAAGTATTTTGCTACTCTTGTTCTTGCAAACGCCTATTTGCAGTTAGAAGTTGAACCCGAAAGCAGAAAGCTGCTAACAATCAACACGCATCGCGGTCTCTACCAGTACAACCGTTTGCCATTTGGAGTCAAAACGGCACCGGCAATCTTTCAGCAAGTCATGGATGCCATGCTGACGGGTGTAACCGGAGCGGCAGCCTACCTGGATGACATCATAATAATGGGATCGACGCAAGATGAGCTATTTCAACGATTGGATGACGGGCTAAAAGGAATCAAAGATTACGGTTTCCGATTACGAGCGGACAAGTGCAAATTTTTCCTAAAGCCAATTAAGTTCCTGGGTTTCGTAATTAACGAGAACGGCCGACGACCCGCTTCCGAAAATATAGTGGTGATAGACCGGTTACCGGCGCCATCAGATGTCACAACTTTACGGTCATTCCTTGGGATGGTGAGTCACTATAGTGAATTTCTACCATGCATGCATCGCTTGCGGCATCCTCCAAACCATCTGCTGATGAAAGACGTCGAATGGAAATGGTCTGCACAGTGTCAACAGTCGCTCGAGAAACTGAAATCTCTGCTGAAGTCGGACTTACTGCTGACGCATTATAACCCGAAGCTGGAGATTATTGTTGCCACGGATGTTTCAAGCTATGGAATTGGTGCTGTCATTTCACATCGTTTTCCAGATGGATCCGAAAAGGCTATAGCACATGTTGCACGGGCGCTGACGGCATCCGAAAAGAATTATAGTCAGATTGAGAAAGAGGCGTTGGCTATCATCTTTGCAGTGCAGAAATTCCATAAGATGGTATATGGTCGACGGTTCACGTTGGTGACTGATCACAAGCCGCTTCTGGCAATTTTTGGATCCAAAAAGGGGATTCCAGCATATACGGCCAGTCGACTTCAGCGATGGGCAACTCTGCTCTTGGGTTATGATTTCAGCATGCGATACTTGTCTACGGATTCTATAGGGCAAGCGGACGCCCTTTCCAGATTAATCGATACCGGTAAGCGTGAGTCAGAAGACGCAGTCATTGCCTCCATCGCAGCCGAAACGGATGTAACCTACATGGTACATGACGCCGTGAGTAATTTGCCGGTCACTGGCACAATGGTGGAGCAAGCCACTGAACAGGATGCATTGCTGCAAGAGGTATTAACCTACACAAGACGGGGCTGGCCAAAGAGGTGCCCGAAAGAAACTTTGACACTGTTTTTCACACGACGCAACTCTTTGTCTGAAGTTGATTCCTGTCTGTTTTTTGCAGATCGCATTGTCATTCCAGAAATACTCAGGTCACGCGTGTTACGGCAACTGCACAAGAGTTATCCAGGAATCGCTCGCATGAAGGCGCTTGCGCGCAGCTACGTTTTTTGGCCCATGATGGATAGCCAAATTGAAGATATTGGCCGATCGTGCTCCAGATGCATCAGTGCCTCCAAGTTACTGGTACGTTCTACATTACAAGCTTGGCCAAACCCTGAATCGCCCTGGTCGCGCATACACGTAGATTTCGCAGGACCAGTCGAAGGAGGACATTTCCTCGTTATTATTGACGCCTACAGTAAATGGCCGGAGGTAATCACTATGCAAAACACGTCGGCCAACAGCACAATTATTGCGATGAGACATGTCTTCAGTCAGCACGGATTGCCAGTAACAGTCGTGTCAGATAACGGGGCACAGTTTACGTCCTGTCAATTTGCTGCATTTTGTGCACAGAATGGGATCGAGCATGTGAGGACGGCCCCGTATCATCCGCAGTCTAATGGCCAAGCGGAAAGATTTGTGGATACCCTGAAACGAGCATTGTGGAAGTCAAAAGAGGAGGGATCGTTGAACGAAAGATTGGAACGTTTCCTGTTGAACCATAGAGTTACCCCGAATCCTAATGCACCAGATGGCAAATCACCAGCTGAAGCACTTATGGGTCGAAGGTTGAGAACCACACTAGATTTGCTGACCCCCAAGCGCCCGTCTCTACAACTACGGAATTCAGTGATGGAGCGTCAGTACAACAGGCGGTATGGTGCAAGAAAAGGATTTTCAAAGTGGGCGATCTTGTGTTTGCAGCTGCGAATCAAGGACGGCAGATCGCATGGATACCAGGACGAGTCCTGCGGCGCCGAGGCAACGTGATGTATGATGTTCAAGTGGGTACACAGGTGTGGAGACGCCACGTAAATCAGTTGAGGCCACGTTATACACATGGTGCCGCCGTTCCGAAAGCCAACGGACTTGACGTCAATGAATTGCTGGACACCGACAAGCCTAGTACTCCTGCAGGTGGTGACGTTAGTCCAGTGGAATGCATGGAAAATGGAGCTCGCCACAGGCCAAAGAGAACAAGAAGATTCGTGCAGCCCCTCCAAGTGGATCCGCGTCGAAAGACCTATGTGAACACCAGGTAACCCGTTTTTTTTAAAGAGAGGGAGGTATTAGGAGAACAGCTATTAGACATTCATTTATTGTGACCGAGCTTGATAGCTATTCTTTACTCTTCCTATTTTCTGTTTCTTGACTGTTGTTTAAACGCTCTACTGGGTTCGCCCGATTGGTACATCCGCGTCATTGTTAATGGACGCTCCTCGTCATGCCTTTCTCAGCAGCGCTGTTTGCAAGAACATATTCTATTGGTTTTTTTCTTCTCATTACTGTTCTACTTGGTTATGTTAAAGGAATATTTAGTGTCACACAATTATTGTACTAGTTTTCAACTTTTGGGTCTGCATTCCTTATTCGCGTTTGTTTCGTGACTTTTGTTTAAACGTTTCATTTCGTCATTCTGATTGGCCAGTGCCCGTCACTGTAAATGGTCGTTCGCTTTACGCTTGGAGTCCAATGATGCTATTTTTAGGGACTTACGCGATTCGCTCTTACATACACGGTTGCTTATTCGCCGTTGCATTTTACGTTTTTCCTTCAGTTGGTTGGCTCAAGTGTACTTTAGTAGCTTCCCTTCATTTTGCCTTCAAACTATATAAGCAACTGTGATTTCATGTATACAAGTCTCCTTCTGGCTCGTCTTTGGACTTCTTCTTGCGGTCGTGGGGTGAAGGCATCAGCGGCGACACAACACACGGAGGCCAGTTAAAACAGTTAGTGATGGCCAAGACTCTACTCGTAGAAGATATTTCCGCGTTTGATGGATCACTGTGTAGAGCTGGTAAATCCGGTTCGAATGCGCGTACAGTGACAACGTCGCGAGCAGATGGAGAGAGGAATGATCCAAATTAACCAAGAGCACGCACGTAGTGCCCAAATGCAAACGCAATCCAAGACACACGACTGGTGCTCCAAAACCTGGAAATCTACTTCTAACCGCTTTGTCAAACACTGCTCGTGGAGCTCAGTGGCACAGTGATCATGGCGATAGCCGCCAAGCCCTATGCGCCAAGTTCCACTCCCAGCTCGGCTATCTCTGTCTGATGAGCCTAAACTAAGACGAAACCGTCAGTCTTGGAGTGCAGGGATGGGAGAGAGCCACACCGAGACCCGCCCAAATGCAACTTTAAATGCCAGCATATAGAACTGCCCCACAAATCCATAATGAAAAGATTCCAGGGAACGGTGGAACGTAACACTGTTTTGACTGCATAGGGGATTAGCATGCATTTCCTTCGACACAACTATTATGAGGAATATGCGTAATCGTGCTGACGTTGGCATATGCAGCGCAAAAATGCATAAAACCCATCAACGTGGAACGCAGTAATAAACAACGAGAACCACTCAGAGTTATACGTTGTATAGGATCTAGCTTTTACTGTTGTAATCGACACGCTGTTCGATTTATCGACACAATTTATTCCTTGAAATCACTTGGCCATCCAGTCATTTAAAATGACGCACTAACAATGGCATACAATTTGGATTTGGAAGCTGCATGACATAAATGCTGTAGGTTTCGTTAAGTATTTTATACCTCCAAAGCGAAAGGTGCCCACATTCAAAGCAGTCGTTCGGTTCCTTTGTGGTCGCAAGTATATAAGTATAAGTATATAAGTATAAGTATATAAGTATATAAGTAAGTAAGTATAAAAGTAAGTATATAAGTAAGTAAGTAAGTATAAGTATATAAGTATATTTTATTACCTCAGGTGATTGAATCACCAAAGAGGCAGTTGAGCAGATCGATAGGTTCTGTGTGGCTCTTCAATCTTCGGTCATTCGTGAAAGCGACAGGATAACATTCTATCGGCCAAGCGTTGGTGTAGGTCACGGGTGACGAGTGGTACCCTAAGTGATCGGAAGCATGTTTACTGCTGACCTAAAACTTGAAGAGTATAGTCGTGCTTGATCACAATTACCTGTACTGCTTTGGTACTACCTGAACGAGTATGATAACAATCCACCGGAGTGTATAAGATGGCCTACCTCATGGTTCCGCACAAGTGTCCGCTTTCTCGCACCACCCTGACTGGTTATGTTGGATTCTGCGTGGCTCAACGGTTGGGTATCTCGTTATACATTCCTTTGCATTGTTGCGCCTGGTTATAAAGTTATCACTAAAGCCAACATCTGGTGTGGCTAAGAACCATCAAGAAGGATACATGACGACGAGGCCGGATCCAGGATGCAGACATCCGGAGACATCCATTCTAACTATGTCGTTTGATTTACGTTTACCTTTGTAATTGAAGTACACTTGTCTCTAGATTCCAGGGAGTTTTACTTCCACTAGTAATAATAGCATATGAGGATGTCCGCTGGTTCGGTTTAAGTGAAGCCACTTTCGTTTGCTGATAGCAGGCAGTTGCGCAAGTATACAAAATGGATGGGCTAAGGTCAGGTACCTAAGAGCCATTTGAACTAAGCCAAGGCTAAAATATGAGTTGTTATGTCTAGATTATTATGCAAGTTTTATTTTTCTAAGCGGAATAAGAGTAAAATCACCAACTCAGCACAACGTACTGGATGTGTTTCATTCTTTGCTGCACGTTGCCGAACGTATAAACTCACCGTTTTTGGCTTTCTGTGATTGCACGCATCTCTGTAGACACTTGAGCTTGCTCTTTTCTTTCCTGAATCAAATCCTGTACAAAAATCATAAAGTGACGTTGTGGGAACGCGAGCGACAACGAGAACGCAATCAGCTTTGTATGAAAATAACTGGAACGGTTGTCAAACGAATCAACTGAGATCGGTCCATGGACGCTCAAGCTGCCTGATACGAGTCAAGAATCGCAGTACAACCGATTTAGTTGCAGTTAATCCAACAGCTTTGAATAACGATCAATAAAGTTGAAAAGTAGATGAAAAGACGTGGCGAAAACCACCGATTTGCGAGGGGTCGGAGCACACAAAAAACAGCAAATGAACGGGTTGGTGCTCAGGAATAAAAACACCCATGACGACTTTAGCATTGTCTTGGGGATGACGCTGGTTATCTAGTCGCTTAACGCCACGCAAAACCATCTCGGTAAAGCAGCAATGCGTGATGGGCAGTTGTAAAAAATACAGTGTTCGTAAATTCGTTGATACAGTACAGTGCAGGGTGGTCTTTGGTCAACTGAAGATGGCAAGCAGCTTCGGTTTCGCGAGATTATGACAACACTAGGTGGGCATTCGTGGTTAGAACCTGATTGGTGGTCCTCTGTTTCGCAATTCAGTTAGTTGTATCACAGCGTTTTTAGTCTAACTTCTACTGACAACGTGGTTTGCCACGTATTTCATGACGCATAGACCAGCTTAATAAGTACGTGTTCTTGGTGGCCGCAATCAGAACTTTCCTCGGCAAAATACCAATGAGGACCCTCGGGCACGTTGTGCATCGACTCGATTTGTTTGTCAAAAGAAAATGTTGATTTAAAAATGAAATTCAAACAGCATCAAGCTGAATCCTCCATCTGTTGCTACTACAATTTTGAACAGACTTTCTTCTAAGAAGAGAGAAACAAAGCAGTTTGTTACACGTGTGAAGTGGTGGAAACAGTGCAGGATTTATTTTCGGCAAATTACTTTCTAGAGATATTACTTATCAAGTTTCGATTGTACGTTTCCTTAAGAAACGAATATTGTGAGTGGAAAATCCAAAAACGACGTCGAGCTCGCGGACTAACTAAACGCATGCTATCCGGAAGTATGTTGTTGCTCACTGAAGCAGTTGTATGATCGTGGGAGCTGTAAGTTTCTTCATCCTGCTTAGAATTTCTATCTCATCACCATTTCACTCTCGATGCGTAAAATAACACGCAGCACAGTAACACTTTTGTTCTGTATAACGCATTGAGAAGACAGACATTGACAGATTCGCGTATTTGGAATTGTCTCATCCGTACTAATAAAACAACAAGAAAGTAAGTATGTACAGTTCAAGGGTGTAACCAGACCAATCAAATGTACTGAGTTGAACGGCGGCGATGGTCCTAGTGTAGGGAGGCAGAAGGTAGCGCTTGCGCAAAAGACGGTTAGATCGTTAAAACGGAGGCCATCGAATAGGGAGACTGATGCAATGGGGGCGATTCGCTGGAGAAACCCAGGCCCAATAGAACGGGACGGAAACGGGACATGAGCGGCATCCGTGGGTGAACCCGAGGCAGGCAAAGCAGGTGGAGAATTTGTTGAAGACGCAATAGATCGGACAAAACCGCCGGTATCGCAGCTTCAAGAAACAACCCCGGGGAGAGTGATACACCCACGGTCAAGCAAAGCGCACGCTATCGAACGACTCCGGGCTTGTCAGAATCGGAGTCGTGGAAGCGAAGATACACTGGCGAATCGGACATAGAAGATGCGTTCCCGTACCCCCAGAAGGAGCATAGAAGTGCCACGAGCGAAGGCTAGGAGGGATGGTGCAACGTGGGAAAGAAACCTGACTCATTAATGTGCGCCTGTGTGAGTGGTAGGGTGGTGTGTGTGTTCGCGCCAATAAAGATCGTGCTTCCTTGCTGCGTTGTTCTGTCGCTACAATAGGACTATGTAAACCGAAGGTCAACAATTGATTGTTTTTATACACATAGTGCAGGTCTTAGCTGCCCTATCGCCACAGTCCTGACGAGCCACAGGAAGAGTGGATTAGAATGGCGTAATAAAAACCGAAACGCGGAGCCGAGGTCAACCTGATGATGGGTCACCAAAATATGACTGTTTATTGATGACGATGGCGACTTTCGCGAACACAAATATTGGGCGTGGGTTGGTTGACCCCACGTAGATTGCTATCACACTCAACCCAGCTGGGCACTTGCTTGCTCACCGTGGAATTACAAGCGCTGTCGGTTCTGCTTTTGTAAGTCCTTCCGCAGTCACACACATACACAGTGTGATTTGGTACCGATGGCTTCCTCTTGCTTTACTGCAATTAGCTACAGTTCATGGTTCTATTGACCAGTACAGCTCCCACGGTGCAGTAGGTTCTCTGAATCGCAAAGTTCAAGCGACTGTTTATTTTACTTATGAATGGAAGGATTTTGGTGAGTATTTTTGTTCGTCGCAATCAGCCGACGGCGGTATCCCTAAATGGAAGCTCGAGTTATACATTTTGCCATAGGTGCTGTAAACACCGTTTCCTTCGGCGGGTTAATCTGACAAGGTTTCTCGATGAAGCGCCTAAGGGGCGTTCTGGTAATTGCCGCCTGTCAGACAATCGCTCGAGCAAATAACTTTAATTTTTTGTTCTTTTTTGCTTTATGCTTAATTTTCTACCGACACCTGTACTGTGGTGTAATAGCTACTGTGTTACTCACCACTAGCTAATATGCTGAAAGATTGCATGCACTTTTAGCACAGCCTATTTCGAAAGAGATAAACAGGCGGCCGACTTTGATCAACCTACAGCTGGTCGAGAGTGCCCATCTATCTACCTAGAGTAATGGTAGTTTGAAGTTTAGACAAAGGGTACCGACGAGGTACCAGTGTACCGGAGGTTACCTAGGTGTCGCCCACAAGAACTAACTTGAATCGCAGAGGCCAAACGGGCGATATCGATAGTCGGAGTCTAGTGCGAACCAAGTTCAACGCCGCCCCATACAGAACAGTCGTGGACTGGACAGAGCAAAGCGGAAGAAAAATGTGCGTTGGTCGTTGATTATTGGTAGACGTAAGATGACGCAACATTGAGACAGAGCCATGGAAAAGTGGCCACAATTGAGCGATACCACAAAAGTATGGGCGGAGTGAAGGGTGCTGTGTTTCGTGAATAATGGATTATTGATCTCTGGTCAAGCTTGTTTTGATTCTCGGAAGGTTAGAAGAATTCTATTGTATCACTTCCGTTAGGCCGCTGAAGACTTTATCGTCTACGTCTCCTGCGACCATTAAACAGCAATTTCCGAGATCCGATAGGCCAAAAGCGGCTAGCTGCTGTTAACTTCCGCAGTATCTCTTAGGAAGGCCATGTTCATCTGAAAGTACCCAAAATGTTTTATATACTCAATGGACATACGTTGTAGCTATCTGTAAATGTCTCAAGGAGTCGAGGAGTCTAAGCTGCCTGATCCGTCAATCCAAAGAACTCGCTGGAACCTGGTATTGCCGCTATCAAATTGGAATACGGAATTATAAGCCACATTGAGTCGTGGAGAGGGACATTGTGAACTAGATAACCATCGTGTTTTCTATGTGTCTGTCATGAGCTGAGGAAGGCAAATTTAATAGGCGCGTGGATGTGTGCAAGTCCATTCCGCACCCCCTATACTCATTGTGCTTTAAAGGACGCCGTAGTGGGGTCATGTACTCCCACTCATGATCTCGGAATGGTGAGCTGGTTGGCGGCACTGCTGTGCGGGAAAACAGGAGCGAGTGCGCACATGGTGTTTCACAAAAGGATAAATAAGGCTGGACCTTACCGTGGTGCGATGGTTTGCGTGCTTCAGATATCCATTGAGCTGTGCTGGGTGGCGAATTTGCATCTTCAGAGCCACTCATACCAGATTGGTCAGTGGCTAGAGGCCAGACAAACTCAGCCTCCTGATTCTCCAGGTTGAGGGTTGGAATAAGGGTGGCCCCTTAGTCCTTAAAACGGACTCCTTGTGGCCCACCACCAAACCCGCTGCCTTGCGTCAAGGTTTTTATACCAGAGGCATTGCTTGTGAACCCTAATAGTTCTCCTGTCTACGTATGCACAACCTAACAGTATCCTGCCCACGCAATACTACGTATCTTTCGTCAAAAAGTTTCCTGATGCTCTGGCCACCGCAGGGGATAATCAACGGTGCTCTATCTGCTGCATCGAGCACGGTGGATATGGGTTTGGATGCTACTGCTCAAGCCTTCTCGTGTTCTTATTCCCCTACGTAGGCTTTTTCGCTCTTACCGTCCCGTTCCAGCTTCACTTTTATCCCCCAGTTTTCAACCCCCTGATTCTTGGCCCTCCCCCAACATGCTTTGCTAGGCGTTTATCTGCTAATTTCAACTCACACGCTAACGCGGAGCGTCGATCCTCTCCTGTCGACAAGCCCATGTCCCACCAAGCTGTCCATTCCAGTTCATCGGCTTCCATTTGGAAACCTCGATCCTCCTTCAGATTGGCATGCCTCAATGTACGCACATTATTACAAATCGGTCAACAGATAGCACTTGCCAGAACCTTAGAGACGTCTCCGATCGATCTTTTCTGCTTATGGGAGACCCGCCTGCAAGACACGAGCTCTGTGCTCACTTTGTGATCCCCTTCACGTGACACTAGCCACACTCTTTCATTGCGCCTATCAGGTGACGATGTAGCTTTGAGGTGTTGGTATTGCCTGGCGTTCCCGGGGCCGAAGCTGCTTTGGTTCATTGGATCCCAAGCAGTAGCCGGATGTGTGCGGTCCGATTGGCTGGCTCCTTCAAAGCTTCGAATTCGCGCGGGACTAATAGGTGTCTATTCATCATCGCTGCCTGCGCACCCACAAACTGTAGCGATGATTCGGTAAAAGACGACTTCTACTGCCAACTGAACGAGTTCCTGAGCCACAGCAGAAGCTCGGACACTGTTGTGCTGGTGGGATCTGAATGTACAAGTTGGAAAGGTGTCCACCGATAAAATGCATCTGGGTGGTCAGCATGGTGTAGGCTCTCGTAATGATAACGGTGAGCGGTTACTTCATTTGTG